AAATTGTGTACTCTTACATGCTCCTGACCCAGAATAATGTATTTATGTACATACGTACATATGTATGTATGTATGTATGTATGTATGTATGTATGTGTTTTGTTAATCATTTGCTGATAGCAGCCAACAGGTTGAAAGCAACATTATATAATACGTATCTTATAAGTGTTGGAAGCCACGTGTGGATTCAGCTTGATTACATTGCTTGCAGTGTTTTGTGCTATTCTTGAGCATCAAAAGCAACTCTTTTCCTTCTAAAATTCTGCTAAGATTTCTCTAAAGAACTTCTCATTTCTTTCCCATACCATGTTTTCTGTGAATTCAATAAAAACAGAGTGAAGTCCTCTGCAAGGGACAGACACACAGACGCAGATTCAGGCACACACAGAAACACAGGACAGACACAGGTAATGGCAACAAGGCCAGACAGATCACACACACACACACAACAGACTGCAGACCTGTCAGTAGCCACAGACAGAAGACAATAAGAGAGACTTGGAGACTTCTAATTCTGGCTTTTTCTTAGTCAAGCTAATCCTAGAGGAAGTCTGAGTTTTAATTTGCTAATGCAACACTAACATCATCAGGGATGGCGTGTGTACCCCATTGTGGTGTTTTGAATAAGAATGGCCCTGACAGGCTCACGTACCTGAATATTTAGTCCAGGAAGTTATTTTAAAGGATTAGAAGAGTTAGAAGGTATGACCTTGCTGGGGGTTAAGTGTGTCATTGGGGGTGGGCTTTGAAGTTTCAAAAGCCCATGCCAAATTCAGTCTCTCTCTCTCTCTCTCTCTCTCTCTCTCTCTCTCTCTCTCTCTCTCTCTCTCCCTCTCTGCCTACAGATCAGGATGTAGCCCTCAACTACTTCTTCAGCACCTTCCCTGCCATGCCTGCTACCATGCTCCCCACCATGATGATAATGAACTAACCTCTGAAACTGTAAGCAAGTCCTCAATTAAATGTTTTCTTTTATAAGAGTTTCGAGTTCCAGGACAGACTCCAAAGCTACAGAGAAACCCAGTCTCAAAAAATCAAAACAAACAAACAAACAAACAAAAAAAGAGTTGCCTCAATCATGGTGTCTCTTCACAGCAATAGAACAGCGACTGAGACCCCCAGCTTTGTAGCATTGACTGCAGGATGATCGCATAACCTGTGAGACATGAAAACAAAACGTAGCCAGGCACAACGGCTCACATCTTTAATCCAAGCACTTGGATGGCAAGATAGGCAAGTCTCTGCGAGTTTGAGGCCAGCCTGGTCCACATAATTGAATTTCAGGACAGTCTAGGCTAAGTAGTAAGACTCTGTCTCAAAAGAAAGAAAGAGAAAGAGATGGGGGAGGGAGGAAGGGGGAAGGAAGCAAGGAAGGACATCTCTCTATAGTCTGTCAATAAGGTGTTCTTCAAAAGGCTTGCAGTTTGTCCAAAGGAGCAAAAATCAAGAGACGAAAGCTCTAATTCCTGTATGACAAACAAGGCTTCTGAGCTGTCACTCTGGGCATGACTGGTGTTTCGCTTTCTAAGTGGGTGGTCGACGTCAGAGTTGTCTTCAGGAGGCTTACAGACTGAAAAGTACACTTCCAACCAACCAAGTGACAGTCCTCAGTCCCAGATGGGAAAACGGAGATTAAACAAAAAAGGCTTATTTAAGATATAAGGAGAGGGTTGGCAAGATGGTTCAATGTATAAAAGTACTTGCCACCCGACTTCACCAACACAAAGCCCATCTGAGGCCCCATGAGAAGGGGGAACTGAATCCTCAGGATGTCCTCTGACCCCCATGCATGTGCTACAGTGTAATCACACCTGTGCTTGTGTATATGCATGTGTGTGTGTGCACATAGACATAGACATAAACAAACAAACAAGTAAATGCCAATAAAAAGTAAAAAGCTGAACACTTTTAGCCCACGACTAGTAGCCCAGAGCTGGCCTGTTTCTAGAGCCACTTCATTAAGCAATGAGAACCAGTCACTTGTCTGGAAAACTCAGAAATCTCTAAGTAAAATGCAATCTAGTTCTCAACTCTGCCAATTGCTCCCTCGGACCTCAAGGAAAGGAAAATGCCCTGGACCAGGAATCATAAATTAAAAAATAAAAAGTGACCATAGACTGAATTCACTCCCATGTCAGGGGTGACTTTGAGTAAGTCTCTCACATAGAGGTAGGTCAGTTGCCTCTCTGAACCAGGGGGAAGTGGAGGTGAAATTTGAAGGTGGTGATTTCTAAGATCACCAAATTTTAGTGATTGCACTGTTGGACTGCCCATCAAATCCCAAGATAAAATCCCACATGGTTCACAGAGAATTTACGAGCCAAGAGGTCAGCAACCCCTCTGCAGACTCCACAATAAAGCTGATGAGTTGGGGTTCAAGCTGAGCATATATTCTCTCCAGCTTGTCTTCAAGAGAAAATAGAATGACACATTGTCAGCTCTGGGCCCCACTAGAAAGTGTGGAATGGCATCCCCGTTCCTTTCGTTTCTCTTTCTTGTTCTTTTCAAAGGTTCTTAAAGAACCACATTTAGAAGGATCTACTTCTGAGAACTGGGTAGACCACTCAGTGGTTACGGATACTAGCTATTTCTACAGAGGGCCAGAGTTCAGCTCCCAGTACTCATAGTTTACAACTACGTGTAACTCCAACTCCAAAGTATTCAATGCCCTCTTCTTGCCTCCACATTCAACTGCCTTTGAGTGCACACTACCACCATCACAACCACTACCATCATCCACCACCACCATCATCCACCACCACCATCATCCACCACCACCATCACAACCACCACCATCACAACTACCACCACCACCATCATCATCCACCATCACCATCATCATCCACTACCACCACCATCAACCACTACCACCACCACCATCATCTACCATCATCCACCACTATCACCACCATCACCACCACCATCATCCACCACCACCACCATCAACCACCACCACCACCATCAACCACCATCAACCAACACAACCACCACCACAACCACCATCAACCATCACCACCACCACCACCACCATCCACCACCACTATCAACCACCACCAACACCATCAACTACCACCACCATCACCCACTACCACCATCATCCACCACCACCACCACCATCATCATCCACCATCACCATCATCATCCACTACCACCACCATCAACCACTACCACCACCACCATCATCTACCATCATCCACCACTATCACCACCATCACCACCACCATCATCCACC